TTATAGATATAGATATAGATATAGATATAGATATAGATATAGATATAGATATAGATATAGATATAGATATAGATATAGATATAGATATAGATATAGATATAGATATAGATATAGATATAGATATAGATATAGATATAGATATAGATATAGATATAGATATAGATATAGATATAGATATAGATATAGATATAGATATAGATATAGATATAGATATAGATATAGATATAGATATAGACGGAACGCAAAGAAAGTCCACTAATCAGATAGTCAGATAGGTCTTACAAATACTACCAACGCCACCTGAAGTAGAATGGAATGAAGTTTGGGTTTTCAACCACCCACATAAAGCTGAATCGTTAAAAAATTAGCAAAATTTTCGTTTACAACTTTTTGCGGCATTTAATGCTGATGGTGTCAAAGCAGCTCCAAAACTCTTAGTTACAACAAGTTGTGGGCGTATATTATATACATATCTTATATATATTTATAGATCTTTCTGTTGACTGGACAGAATTGCAGGCATGGCGGATGTTTGAGGCCATTAAACTATATAGAAAAGTCCCCAAAAATACATTTACTGCCAAGTGTAGCAGAAAATTGCGAATGGGGAAAAAATATTACAAAATGTTGCTCAGAACTGCGCAAGACTATGTATATATATATTTATATAATAATTGCATACATACATATGTAAATTATATATTTCTCGTTGCATCTTGATCTCTGTTTCATATTTAGATTCTATCAAAGAAAGCTTGGGCCTTTGGTACCCAGTTTCCACTATGAGAATATGATCTAAGCTCTTTATGGCTCTTAATCTCTTTATTGACATTTAATAATTCAATATAGATTAGTTTAGCTTTAGTTTTGTATGTGATTAACTGGATTGTATAGAATTAAACTAAGTATGATAGGGAATAAATAAAAAGGTCCATTATAAATTAATAAATAAATCCCATATTTTTAAGAAAAATGCACAAATACAAATACAAATAGTATACATATATAACAAAACTTTTCTATATTAGATTAAATTCATATATTACAAGTCGGATTCAAAGTTCAATCTGAAGTTTAGATTCAATATTCAGCATATTTCTATTTAGTAAATCCTGATTGATGACATCAATAGATCAAAGATTAAATAGATTGCAGATAATGCTAGACTCAATCACATTTTAAATGCTGATTATCATCTCGTAACTCTTGAATCGAAAAACTTGGGGTTATCAGTGCAATTGCATTCAGAATGGATGACATCATATGAACTAGGAAATGCCCCGTGGAGAATATTTGTGATGCAAAGTTGAAATGAAAATTGATCATCGTTGGTATATTTGGATTGGATTGAATGTACAGATATAGGCCTGTAGGCACAGAAGTAAAGAAATGCCTATATAAGTCATATAAACTATACTTACTCTTTAACTATATACTACATATGCATATATTACGAGCTGATCAAAACTGCTCAACAATATTATTCTCAGCAGTATTACGAGCATATAAAATAAACTAAAATGGCATTCCGAAATTGATTTTTTCCCACTTGTAAACCTTGAGCCAATTAAAATTGGGCAAAAAGCCACTCGAGTGGCTTGTAGTACTTGTAGTTAACAGTCGAAAGAATTTATATATGTATATACGTATATAAATTA